AGCCCCAAAGTAAGCACTATTAAGGCTTGTGTTATGGGATACTAGGGTAACGGATAGAATACATATACTGTACATATATAAGTATATTTATGTAGAATTACATATTAAACATCCATGACTGGAGTACAAATGCTCGTATTCATCACACAAACATCTGCCCCCACCGGGATTCGAACCCGGGACCTCTCGAGTCGGCGACACCATGAAACCCGGCGTACAAACCACTCGGCCACGGAGGTCGTCAAATCGACATTAACTGTCAGACTACTGTCAAACTCCATAGTAGTCTGACAGTTAATGTCGATATATCGCTTTATCATATCCCTTTTCGGTGGTCATGCTGGAGGGGTTGGATAAGACGCGTGATAACCCCGGATTTTGGAGCCCAGAACCCGGACAGACCAATAAAAACAGTTAAAATATCACAAATCAACTTTTTTATGTTGATCTAGGCAAAAGAGCATAAGTCTACCTCATAATAAGTGGTCACTGCTGCCCATGGACACTTGCAGCGCCAAGGGCCAGTCATGCGTTGCCGTAAATTTTTAAACCCGGACTACAAATAAAACCCCGCCCGGACGCTCCCCGGACGCCCCGTAAACTAGGACAAATCCGGGAAAACCCGGACGGATGGCAGCCCTACGTATACCTGCCATTTTATTACTGATCTTATGTTGAACGGCAATGTTTTAAAAATGGATGCCAAACAACTCTTTATGAACTTCCCAAGGTTACGGGGCACCCGAACGAGTAAAGCCAGAGACATATTAACGTGTCGTGTCGTGTCGTGGCGCTTCAGAAGCACATCGGTTTCATACATTTACTATGGTTAGAGAAATATTTACGTTGTCACGGTTACCCTGGTCTACTAACTAAGGTCAGAAATGAGACAACAGGATACCATGCAAATTAAAAACTTTAATAAAAAACTCGACCCGGAGAAATCAAAAATTATACAGGTGGGGTTGAGCACTTAATCCACACAAGTTCCTTAGCTTCGTCGGTTCAGGTACTCTCCTGTGTAACGCCGGGTAGTTGGTGAATAGTGTTATTATTTAGTTTTAGGCATTGTAAATATTAAATTTAAGTGAATTTTAGGGTAATAATATGAATTATGTAACGCATAACGTTACAACGTATCGTGTCGTGTCGACGCTTTAACCTCTCTATTTCTCTCTAACCCATAATAAATGTATGAAACCGATGCGCCACGTCACGCCACGACACGTTAATATGTTTCTGGCTTTAGGAAAAAGTATGTTAAAAACTATTTTATAAATACTGACACATTAATTTTCATCATCATCATCAGCCTATTAATGTCCCCACTGCTGGGGCACAGGCCTTCCCTATGGATGGAATAGAGATATTAGGCCATGACCCACAGGGCCGGACCGTGAGTTTAGGGGGCCACCTAATTACTCAAAGTATAGAAAAAAGACAGTAAACTATTAAATTTAAATTATAATATATTAAATAAAACTAGTTTTATAATATATTATGCCTCAGTATTATACAATCACACTAATATTATAAAGGTGAAAGTTTGTGAGTGTGTGAGTATGTGAGTGTGTATGTTTGTTACTTCTTCACGTCCAAACGGCTGGAGCGATTTTAATAAAATTTGGTATGGAGTTAGCTGACACCCTAGATTAACACATAGGCTACTTTTATCCCGAAAAAATGTTAGGTTCCAGAGGGATTTCAAGAAACTAAGTCAACGCAGACGAAGTCGCGGGCGACCTCTAGTCGTTAATAAATGGACAAATTATAAAGAAACCTTTCTACAAAGTGCAGAAATGGCAAATTCTTTAATTTGCTCCTGCCATTATAGGGGCAATACTGTGGCGGCGACATCTATATGCCCCACAGATATACAACGGATGTAGGAAATCATTACTCACCATCCTCAAGAGATGGCGTTACCTGCACTGCGATCATAATAGTATGGAAGCCTATATCGCGCAAATGAAATTCAGAGGCTAACACTCCATATATACGATGCCCGACCAACATCAGTCGGGCCGCGGCCCCCGAGCTACCATCATCCAGCTCGGAGGAAGATCTTCTCCTTTGGCTTCCCTACAATACCAATGGAGTTATATTTAACAATGTATTTTTAGGGCCCTGGGCTGAAGCCCAAAAAGCCATTTGGTAGATCAGGCCCTGATGACCCACCACGCGGGCCGAGTGCGGATTGGCGGGTGCTTACGACTGCAGATGCAGCCGGGGCCAGTGCCTTCCGAAGCACGGAGAAACTCGAGATAGAAGATTTTTTGGTCACCCATCCAATGAGCGACCACTGTGAAAGTTGCTTCAACGATCGCAGCCGAAAGAGCGAACCACCCACGCCATCGAGATCCTCACATTTTTTTTAATTTATTTTTTTATAGATAGGTCCGATGAATGACTCCACCCTTCCTGATGTTAAGTTAAGGTGAAGTCCAGACGCGAAGATAGCTGAAACAGCAGTTCTACCTGCCACACCAGCCATCCTCACCCTGCCGGCCTGCATGTTGCTTCTTCACGCCTCTTTTAAAGGATCCCAGGTTGTAAGAGGGAGGGAACACGTGAGCGGGCAGAGCATTCCATTTACGGATAGTACGACAAAGAAATGAGTCACCAAATTTCTTTGTACGCGTTGGAATTGTAGCCACAGTTAGACGGTGACAACGTAAGCCAGCGCGCGTGGTCCGCTGAAGGAAAGGGGAAGGTGGAATAAGAGAGAATAACTCCTCAGAACACTCGCCGTGGTACAGGCGATATGTACCGCGCGCAGAGCATTCCATTTACGGATAGTGCGACAAAGAAATTTTCACCGTTTTGAAATTGTGAGAGTTATTGTGTTGTTCAAAATCACAAGAGCTAACATAACAATTGTCGCTGAAGTATGTTCTTCTTGGGCTTAACCATTTTGTATCAAACCTTATTGTAAAAAACCTCTAGATTGTTCTCTCATCGGATAACTACTTTGTGCAACAATGTGATGACAACCAGTAAATGAATGAATTTAACTCAAAGTAGTTCGACTGTAAATTACAGCTCAGTTTCAAAGACTACAATGCAATTTCTTTGTAAAAGGTTCAATGGAGTTTTTTCGCTGTAGAGATGGAAGGATTTTATGACAGCTTGTATTCGTGCACTAAACGCGGTATCCTATATATATACTTATAATAAATCTGTAGAGAGGTCAATTCTGTACATGAAATATATTTTCAAAATAACTATCAGGGGGTGATTAGTGATCGATACTGATGCCAAAAATGCAATCAGTAAAAATTTTGTCTGTCTGTCTGTCTGTGTGTATGTTCCTTATAGAAACAAAAACTACTCGACGGATTTTAACGAAACTTGGTACAATTATTCTTCATACTCCTGGGCAGGTTATAGTATACTTTTCATCACGCTACAATCAATAGGAGCAGAGTAGTGAAGGGATATGTTGGGAAAACGGGAGAAGTTACTGCATTTTTTAAGCTTCCGTTGCGTGTGCAGCCTTAATGGTTAAAGTTACATAGAAATCATGTATGACGGAAATATTCTACATAAAATTGTCTAAAAAATATCCCGCAACAGCATATGTCTATCTTTTATGGATGACTCACAATAACACGTGTAATTGTATAAATAAAGTCATTGTTTATAGCACAAGCCTGAGAACAAAAACTATAGTTTACACTACAGCTCTACACCGAAGCGAAGCGAGGGCGGGCCACTAGTATGTAATAAAGTCCATGGAACGACCAACTGTTATGTTGACATCCGGTCACAGGCGTCGGTCATTATTAGCAAATATTTGATTATTTTTGACAATTATTTGCTTACTTTCATAATAGTTGATGTTATTAGACAGCGTAGCGTGCTACTTATATTTAAATTAAAGAGTTCGCAGAACATCAAAATGATCATATAAGGAAAAGTAGCAATATTAATAAATAAGAAATACAGGGAGTTAAGGAAATGTAACTGGACTGTGTTTGTTATTCGGCATGCACATAGTTCTCTTACGAACTTTGTTGGGTACATATTGGTGTTGATTCTGGCTTAATTCTCTAAACTTAAAACTAAATTTAACATCAGTCTCTCCTTTTCACCATTGTTTATTTTTTTTAAATAATAGCACCGTTTAGTTGTGCTTTGGTTCAAACAAAGAAATAATTAACACGAGCTGATTCGGCGAACTTCGTCCCGTCCAAAAGTAATAATTTGCAATAAAATAATATTGCGACTGTAGGCGACGCACCATTATTTTATAGTAATTAATATTTTATAACACAAAATAATTGTAAAGGAAACCTAACTTTAATTTTTAACACTCATCTACTAAACGTAATTGAAAACCGATGTATTTGTTCATTGACAAATAAAGTAATGCGCTGCCGAGGAGTTACCGCATGATTGGTGCTAATATCGGGCCTAACGCCCCACTATGCCTCTGTTGCATTTCGGCCATTACAAGTGAACTCAAGTAGTATCTCTTCGAACGCGCCATCTTTTTTCCGGCATAGAGATGTAAGCTATTCTATCATTCAAGTTGGATCAAATTGCACACGGTGTGTAAATTTGATTAAAACCGGATAAGTAGTTTAAGCGTCCATCCCGGACAAACAACGTGACGCGTAATTTAAATTATATTACGATTATGTTTAATGTTATAGTAATATAAGTTATTTACGGGATTGTTACCATGTACTTTGTTTTTAGCGAGTTTCCGATATTTTGTTGTGTGTCGAGAACAGTTTCGAGTGAATAGTGAGAATGTGAACAGTGGTACGGGTATCGAACGCAATAAAAGCCTACGTCGGAGGGTAGACCGATATGTCTGCCAATAACAACCTACCCGCAATTACTTCAGTTACTCCGTGATCATGGCGCTTGCAACAGTGCCGAAACACATGGTACATGGTAACAATCCCGTAAATAACTTATATTGCTATAATGTTAGTGACCATGAAAGTTTAAAACAATATATGTTTAATATGATTAAAAAACGGACTCACCTGAAAAAACAGGCAGAAGCAGACCCATTGGTAGTATTTGTAGATCTTCCTGTCGCTCATGTCTTCCTTCCCTTTCTCGCGGCTGTTCCCGATGCCGGGGTACGGCACCTCGACACCCACCTTCTTGTTGAAGAAACTCTTCAGAGTGTACGTGGAATGGATCCAGCAGTACGTGTTCAGAACGTCCTCGGGAATGTCCTTAGTATGTATGCAGTCTATCGGGTTGCCCACGTATTGCCTCGTCGTGACGATCAGGCTGAACGATATCAGCAGGATCACCGTTATAGAGTAATGCAGGCGGAATACAGGCGAGTCGATGTGTATATAGTTCACTTTAATAAGATTCTTTAAACCGCGAAAAACGTCTAACATTGTAAACGCCTTAAGTCTTAAGTGTTTCCCGTTCCGTTGCGTCCACTAACATTATTTTGTCTACTCTACTTTATTGTATCCGAGCACCACTTTAATTTTTTTTTAATTCTTTAAAACTCTTGTCACTACTACGTGTTTTGTCGTTGGTTTTTCGTAAGGCACTTCAGTGGCAGTGAGTGTTTGTGTCCCTTATTCCATTAGCCGCGACGTCTACGCTGCAGCTTCTTCGGTATTTTTATGAATTTCAGCAGGGAGACCGTCTGTGTCATTTTTTCTGCGTTTCATCGTTTCGGTACATCGATTCGTGATCTCTTCGTCGGTGTCATGTAGTCTACGCGTCGGTGACGGCGTAGTCTGTGTAATGAGGTTAGATTAGCTGGTTTACGAGCCGCGCTCGGCGACCGGAGCACCGCGTTCGGATTAACGATCTGAGATATCGGAGCATTGAGAATATGCCGACGTTAACTTTTTGGATGGGTGTACCGTTGCTAATAGATCTAATGAAGCATGTCGGGATTAGGATGGTCGAGATGAAATGGTAGGAAGTGGTGACATGACTACTTATTGATGAGATAATTCAAATTGAGGAATTTCGTACGCAGAAACTAGCAGTCTTTGAAAAATCAAGCAGCTTCAATATTATAGAAGAATTTTAAATAACATTCTGATGAAATAACACACGGAGCCTATTGTACGTCAAAACATTGAGTTACGACAGCAACAGGTGAGTACAGTCAGACGCGCACACGCGTGCTCTTCAAAGAAAGTTCTCAAAAACACACAGATTTATTTCCTCGTGCAATGAATCATGGGACGCGCGCGATGGGAAAACGTAATCAGTTGGAATATTAACAAATATTAAATCATGGAGACCTCACACGCTCTCTTTATTGTTTAGTCGTTGTATTTTTTTATTCTTACACATTTGAAGTACTAAATAAAACGTTATCTGTTTTATAATTGGGGGAAAATGATTGGTTTGGATTTCGGGATTGTCTTGCAGATAGTAAAAATCTATCGACAGCAAAATTTTGCAAGTAATAGGTCATTTTTGTTCCCGGGCAATATCTTAGGCCAATACCGAATGGGTTGTTGCCAATACTCAGCTCTCATGATGTCTGTGATAATACAAAAGGAATTAGTTATAGCATCAAAAAAATACAGCCTCGCTATCCAACGTCGAAATCCTGCCAGTCTATTGGGCACCCTTCGTGACAACGGCGCTTATTGCGATATATTTTTTATTTTGTAAATTGTATATTATTTAAGTACTTACTTAATTATTTCTGGTTTTTTAAGTTTTTCGACATTAAGAAGTTTTAAGTTTTTGTAATTCCAAATATTTCTATGTAAATATAAATAAATAAATTCCCTTAAGCTACTTAAATAAAAAATATACGTAATTTCTACTACATCACATAGATCGAAATTTCCCTTATGAACTTTTACCAAAATAAATTCACGGTCGAGTGACATCAATATCGTGGCAAATGTTGAGCATAAATCAAAGTAGGTAGGTAGGTATGAGAATAATTTAAGGAAATGTGAGACCTTGAGATGAAACAAAGAATTGTAGAGGAATAACAATATGTTTGATGTTAAACGTGAATAGATTAGCTAGGAATAGGTACGGGGCACGCCAGCCAGCCTCAAGCCTATTCTTCTAAACCAGCCTTTCTCAAAATGTATAAAGGGGGCTTCCCCTTACGGATGCTAGAAGTAAACGTGATTGTTTTTCTAATAGGTTTGATGATAACTTTATTTTTCTTCGTCGAAGATTTTATCAAAAAGTATTGGACACGCATATTTTCTTATTCTTTTGTCTTTTTTCATTTTTTCTTCCAAATATAACATAGACATATTTTTTTAAGCATTAAACTGCCAATTGTTTTCGTTCAAATGTTTAATACTTCTAAAAGTATTCAAAGGCTGCTACCTAAGAAATTCTAGAGAAAATTCAAAAACGCTATCTCTTAGCATTGTAGGAAATCCACAATAAATAAATAAATAAATAAATATAAAAATGCACAATATCAAATGAATACTATTACAAGTAAAAGAAAATTCTACACGGCCATCAGGGGTTTATCTGGATAGCGTAGGGTTCGAGTCCTGTCTGCTGCATGGTCCGAGTGGATTTTTTCTAGTCAAATTTTCTTTAGATTACATATATATATTGATTTGAAATGTCGCATGACGTAACGCCTAGGGACAATTTTTACTCAGCAGTGAAGTTACGAACCCCTGCCCTTTTAGTGGGCCATAGAAAATTTACTGTAACTGAAATTGGGCGGTAGACAAGAGCTTTGAGAACCTCGGTTTTAAACAGAGTATCTCTTGCAAACTTAACTTTAGAAAATTTACTTGTATCAGTTATCTTGTGGACCTTACAAAAGAGTCTTGTTGGGTTGCAAATTCTTATTCTACATTAAGTTTCGTATTTAAATACTTTGAGCGAACTTTGATGGGTTTTAAAATAACCAATGCGAAAAGAAAATCAGCCTGAATATATTGACCCTTCGTTTATCAGAAAGTTTAGTATCGGATTGATAGAGAAAAAAATACTTTGTATAAAGGAAAGTCTTGGAGAGTCTTAAAGCACTCTACGCGTCGGATACCCGCACTGTTAAGTTGATCTCTACGGCTCTCTAAATAAAACCATGATACCGTTAAATAAGGTCCTATTTAACTTTTTAGAACCTTTGGTTCACCAACGCTTCAACGTTTTTTTACTGTAAGAATAGGGATGATGACAAATTATTTTTTCTTTTACTTACATTGCAGAGATATATTGATTTGAAAAGTCGCATGACGTCACGTTTTGGTACACTTTTAAGTGAAAAGTGACGTCACGAGCCCCTACTCCCAAACTTTGACGCGCTATAACTTTGTAATTTTTTGGTTGATTGCCCAAAGAAAAAATACGTGTCCATTATTTTTTGATCATCTAACTGACGGACTAAAAAGAATTTCGTTTACTGTACCCCTCCCCCGCCATTCTTAATAATGTAGCATACTGAGATTTTAAGTTTGCCAACTTGCATGGCAAAAGCTTCGAAAATTGTTAACAACGAAATATGAACTAAGTACAGTTTAGGAGTTGTTGGAATGTGTCCCTGAGGTGCCTGTTGGCTAGGAAAATCTAAGAAAGTAAATGACAAAGTCGCAGTTACATATTAAAACATGGCATCGATTAATTATGCAAAATGTTAGTTTATAATATAATAATATAGTGTGATTATACGCTGTAGATACATTGCAAATGGATACTAAAGGACAATGGCGAACTCCCATACAATTTTTTGATGAAATTTTTTTTTTGTGTCTAAATATGAAGTGCATGTTGAATTATAGAGTTTAGATTCTCGATTTGATTCGACTTATTTCTTTTAATATAGGAAGTCTGGATTTATAGATATTCTACTTTGAAGTTTTGGAGGTTATGTCAAACCAAGTAATACAAAAACACATTGTAAAAGTATTTTCAAGAGTATTTTTATATCAAAATAAAAAAATACGTGGAACGGAACTATAGAAGTATACCGGTCCTGTAGATTAGTGACAAAAAAAGTGTTTTTATAATGTATGCTCAGTGGGCGTAGGTACTGACCAACCGCATCATAATACTTAATAATACTTACAGACAAGGGTTATTGAGTTCAAATACAATGTCTAAAGACAATCTAACGACAATGCTATTTTTTGCAATGGTGTATTCGTTTATAAACGAAGTTATTTGGGTATCAGAACTCAAAGATCATCATCATATTCATCAGCCTATTAATATCCCCACTGCTAGGGCACAGGCCTTCCTATGGATGGAATAGGGAGATTTGGGCCATGACCCACCACGCGGATACAGTGCGGATTGGCGGGTGCTAACGACTGCAGATGCAGCCGGAACCAACGGCTTAACGTGCCTTCCGAAGCACGGAGGAGCTCGAGATAATAAATTTTTGGTCACCCATCCAATGACCGACCACTGCGAAGGTTGCTTAACTTCAACGATCGCAGCCGAACGCGCTAACCACCGGCGCCATCGAGCACAAAGGTAATTTTCGCTAAAGATAAAATTTGTGCGAGTGTTCTTAATTATTATGGATATTTTTTAGAACATGAATTCTGCTGCCTGGTCCGCGTGGAATTTTTTCTACTTATATTTTCTTTTGATTTAAACATCAAGCAGTTACATGCTTTAAAAAAAATAAAAATTATAAATTGAATTCAGTTGATGTTCATGAAGGCTATTTTTATATCAAACTAAAATATCAATTGAGTCCTTTTGCTGGCTTTCAAATACTTTTTGACGGACGACCTCTATGGTCGAGTGGTTTGTACGCTGGGTTTCATGGTGTCGTCTACTGAGATGTTTGTGTGATGAATACGAGTATTTGTACTCCAGTCATGGATTTTAAATATGTATTTATTTATAAATATACTTATATGTGTCAATCTATGTATTCTATCCGTTACCCTAGCATTCCATAACACAAGCCTACAGTGCTTACTTTGGGGTTAGTTATTGGTGTTAGTATTAGAAATATTTATTAATATTATTATTTTCACATAAAATACTTCTGTTTAAACTGAGACACGAACGTTCTGACATCTCTCGCATATAAGTATATTCATATAACTTCTAATGAAATCGGCCAGAATATTTCCAACAAATGACCTATAAAAATATTATAATCGCTGAGAAATGACTACGAAACCCCTCCCATATTGCTCTAATATATTATAACGGCATCAGAAAGGTGCGCGCCGTCCATTTGTCAAAATTAAACGCTCAAGTCTCATCGGGAGCGGTAAATGGCGCGTTTTATTTACGACATGGCCGCCGCGCACTTCCGGTTTGTAAACGTTTGACAAACTCTCACATCATACAGTGGAACGGAACGTTTTGTTTCGCCACCCACCAACAACGATATATTGATATCTTTATTTTGTTTCGGTTACAATAGACACTGAAGAAACATTAAGTAAAGCTAGTAGCTATGTGGTATTTTGTATTGATTTTAAGATGTATTCGTATGAAAATTCGATTCTTTTTTGTGCTTGATGTTTTGTCTTTAATCTAAACCGTGTTGTCTCCCTACAAGCCAGGCGTAAAAGATATGAATTAATTTGCCTTCATAAGATTCTGCACTCATATATCGATGCGCCAGCTTTGCTCTCGTCACTCTCTGTTTATACACTTTATAGATCCCGTCTTCCAAATACATTCGCAATAGGGATGATGACTAATTTTTTTTTCTTCGTTTATCAGGTAGATTATCAAAAAGTATTGGACACGTATTTTCTTTTTTCACCTTATATAAACATTGCAGAGATATATTGATTTGAAAAGTCGC